TTGTTCTTTTTCGTTTAATTTTCATACAAAAAAGTGACCAGTTGTTCAAGTCATCGATTTGTTTATGTATTGTCTTTTTCCGCAACAATAACAGGATTGTATTAGAATTATCTGAAATTTATCTTATAATTATAACAGTTATATGCACTTTTGAATGGTCGGTTTTCAGCGTTGCACAAGATTTCTTTCACCTCTCTGTTTATATCAACAGTGTCGGATTCATTTAAATCGGACAATTATTGTTTGTGAAAATGTCTTTGACCCGTTCGCACTTCAAGTCAATACAGGGTCCGATCAGAGACTGTTCCTAAAGGAACAAAGTCAATAAGTGCTTATGTTCAGTTATGTTTATAATATTAGAAAACATTGACAAAGTCTCAGATGACATCTTTTTTTTTATTTAAAAGTTTTTATCACATTTTTCTTTTTTAATTTTCACACAAAAGCTTATGTCTGTTCCTCAAAATCTGTCAATGAAACTTATTACCAGTTTGATGTGAAATGGGCTTATGAACTTGTATAATTTATTGCTGCTCTTTAACTTTACTCTCTTATATATCCTATTCTACATTTATGACATCTATATATGTTATGATCAGTCTGGATTTTTCTTATAAAACAGCTGTTTTAAATAAAGTAATAAAGTTCATCAAAAGATGTAGATCAATATTGTAAATAAAATCAATCTAATCCCTAAATATATTGACACATTTAACCAAAATATTGAACAGTTGACACATATATATATGTATCAAGACATTGATCAGTTAGTAAACCATTGAGAGTGTGAGTGACATATATAAGTAAAATTTAGGTTTACTGTTATACATTATAATGTGTCTATTCTACAACATAATTTATTTATTATAGTTTCGTCTGAAAAGACTAATATTTATAGAGTCATTGATGTCCAGTGACTGGAAATATACAATATATGGGACAGATGTTTTGGTGTGGTATTTTTAATTGGGGTTGCTATTTTTAGGGCTACCTATATTCGATACAGTATAGAGAATTCAGGGTTTGGATGAGGGTTACCTAACCCATACATCATTGTGATGTCTAACTCTGCGGGTGGGAATTTCCTAACTTACTAAAAATTCCCGATTAGTTCTGTCCGAAAAATAATAAATTTTACATTAGTTGTAAATTGTTTTCTCATAATTTGTAATTATTTTGTTGACACAACAACATGTTTCAATTTACAGAAATGAGGTAAAATGTCTTGTAAAATGTATGTTAATCCCCAAATTCTTGGTTGTGCTAAAGTTAATCATTTTGTATTGATTACATTAGTTGTAAATTGATTTCTCATAATTTGTAATTATTGGGTTGACACCACAACATGTATTCAATTTATAGAAGAGGTAAAATGCCATGTAAAAACCTAGGACTCTTGAAAGTAATCATAAAATTTATGTTTATCCCAAAATTCTGTCCTGTGCTAAAATTAATCATTGTGTATTGATTTGTGTTGATAATTAGCTCTGTTAATGTGACAATGACACATGTAAATTAAAACTATTTTTAGTATAAAAAGCCCTCTTTTCTGGCATTCTTCAAGAGCTTAACCGTAATACATAATTATTCCAGAAAAAAAAGCTTAGGTCTATGACACATACATCTATCTTTTGTATTGATCAGTATTCTATATGTTTATTGCTTATTTCTACTCTAGTTATTTTATATGTCAATAATCTTACCTTAGCCTATTTAACCGGTTGGTCAATTTCACAGATATATACTATCATAATACTTTGATCTTTCATCATTGGTATATACATATCTTCATTAGGTGAGATTGAATCTTTTGTATTATTTATGGGTTTCAGAAGTGTAAAATTTAACAAAAAACTTATTTTGTATGCTTTGTTTTAGAAACCCAATTTATTATGTTTTTGTTTTTAGTTTTGTTATTTATTTCCAATGAACTTCTTTTAGTTGCCAAATTTTGTATTTTTAAAGGAGTCTATAGTTTTTAGCAGGTCTTTTGCAAAGCCTATGAAGTCATTGGCAATACGTTTTTACTAAAAATGTTTATGTACTTGAAATGGAAGTCTGATGGTAAATTTATTGTATAGAAAGACCCCAGATCCATCTGCTTGATGTGATAGTACTTATATAGTTTATAGCTTGGAATGTCAGTGTGATGTGAATAGAATTAAGAGGTAACAGGCTTGGATTGAAGTTAACAATATAAGTAGAATAGAAGTAAAGTTATCAGGCTTTGATTGAAGTGAATAATAAAAGTAAAAGATATTAAGTAGAATAATATAAGTAAAAGGTATCAAGCTTGGATTGAAGTTACCATTATGTAGAATAGAAGTAAAGATATCAAGCTTTGATGGAAGCTCATGTCCATAACTAGTTTCGTCGACCCTGTGAAAAAATTGTCAACCATAAAAAAAACCCTAGATATACATTGTCTGTCAATATTACAGCACCCCTGAGAACACCTCCCGCCCCCCTCAATGCTCTGAGCTAGTTACGGCCCTGTGGAAGCTACCAATATAAGGAGAATCAAATTAAAAGACAAAGCAGCAGTGACTTCACAGAACAAAATTATACCTGTCAATTTACAGAACATGACAGTTTTTAATTATATTAATTTTTGTGGTTGATTTTGTTTCTCATCTTTTGACAAGTATTTTGTTTCGGTATTATCAATTATTAATGAGTCGGACATGTTAATTAGCCATTAATTACTGTGGTTTGACAACGCGACCTGTCTAATATTAGCACCATTAATTGATGACTAATAATTATGTTATATAAGTATAAGCAATATTCATATTTTATTGGAGTAAACATCAGACTTTTCTTAACAGTGTGGACTGTTTATTAGTGTATGTGTGAAAGGTAAAAAGTTCAATACTATTAATGAGTTCTATTTATAATATACTATTCAAAAAAAGTAGGGGATATTTGATTTTTAAGTGTTATTAAAGTCACCTAATGAAACTGACGAAGAAACAAATGACAAAATGAAATGAGGTAAATCCTCCTCTGTTTGCCAAACAAGCATTGATCCGACGTGGCATACTCCTAATGAGACGTCTAAGGTCATTTTGGTCCAGATTGTCCCATTCCTGTTGCAACACAGCAGCAAGTTCTTGGACATTGGCAGGACGTTGTTGACGTTGACGTAACCTCTGTCCAAGCATGTCCCAGACATGCTCGATGGGGGAGAGGTCGGGACTCGGTGCTGGCCAAGGTAATGTGGTGATGTTCTGTTGTTGGAGGTAACCTGTAATGATCCTGGCCCTGTGACATCTTGCGTTGTCATCCTGGAAGATGAAACGGCGGCCATGACGTCGTGCGAACGGCACAACATGGACTGCCAAGATGTTGTCCCGGTAGTACTGGCCTGTAACAAGCCCTGCAACAACATGTAAAGCCGTTCTTCCAGCAACAGTGATGCCTCCCCACACCATAACAGAACCACCCCCAAATCGATCATGTCTGATGACGTTAACGTCTTATAAGCGCTCGTTTCGACGACGCCACACCCTCCTACGTCTGTCCAAAAAATCAACAGTGAACCTTGACTCATCTGAAAACATCACATTGCTCCAGCGTCGATTATCCCAGTGTTGACGATCCCTACACCAACGACGTCTTGCCTGAATGTGATGATAGGTGACCCCTATGCAGTCGATTCCGAATCGTCTGGCCACTCACTCTCACACCAGTGTCTGTTTGAAGACGAGCGCTGATCTGATTTGCTGTGATGACACGATTTCTCAAGGCCAAGGTACGGTAAATCGATCCTGGGCTTGAGTTGTCGCCCTTGGTCAACCTGAGCGTGGTCTGTCCTGTACAGATTGTGTATCACGGTATCTGGACCATAGCCTGCTTATGACAGACTGAGAAACATTCATCGTCCGCGCCACAACCGCCTGTGTTGTGCCGATCTGTAGCATGCCAAGGGCACGTAACCTTTCATTTTGGGTAAGCCGACGCATATCAAAATTTGTTTTCTGGTCACTAAAACAATTAAACTGATGTTTCCACCCTGGAATTCAATGCCACAATGACTGTAACATTCAAAGTCAGAGTCGTGCAAATCTTGGGTTGGACCCCCATGATGATCCCAAGCATCACCTGCATTCCATGCGGTAGCTATTGGTGCGTTTGGGCGTCACATGTAACTGGAAATGTTTCTTCTGTTAGGTTCTATAGTGACTTTTTTCGAAGTCATTTGCATATTTTAGTATTATGCCCCCAAAATCAAATATCCCCTACTTTTTTTGAATAGTATATTATGATGTTCTATTGCATATAAAACCTTGAAACATTTCCATAGTTCCATGTTCACATTGATAAAAATCTAAAAGAAATATCTGAAAAAAGTTAGGTAATGTACCATTTAAACTTTGCAAACATCATTTTCTCAGTTTTAAGTTTTTGTAAGTACATGTAATCAGGCTATAACCCACAAAATTTTCATTTTTAAAGATATAAATCAAAGAATTTTTCCACTCTGGATCATCCATGACTTAGCAATTACCAGCAGGAAATGAATTTCAAGAATAAGAGATATAAAAATTGAGTCAATCATTCGAATGTATTTTATGATAGCACACAATTTATCAAAAGATCAATACTAGTATTGACCCATACAGGCATTGATAATTTGTCACCGATTTCACAAAATTAAACCACCTACATGGGCATGACATGTTATTAGTCTGAAAATGCCAAAAGTAGAATGCATTTTGGCGTTATATCTTTTTAAAGTTGAGGCCATATTGCAGAATATATCACATAGGATTGGAGTGGGGAGAGGCTGCAGGGCTATCAAGGAAAGCACAAGGTGTAGAAAATTGCTTCCAAAGAACCATTGGTAATTGGAATTGACCATTGTCTGTGTGAAATTATCTCCCTCTCATTGCACACATAACCATAGAAATTATAATCACCATATTAATTATGTTAGTTCATGCGACGCGACGTAAACCCCATTCCATCACATTTAATTTTGTACTTTTATTTTTCAGCACACTGAGATGATGAAGGAGTTTGAGATAAAGATTGAACGTCCAAAACCAACACCTTTGGACGAAATCCTTGAAGTTTTACACAGGATCTTACAGTATTGCTTGTGTGTATTTACATGTGGCTGCTATCCAGGTCCGCAGACAGGAAATGGATTAAATGGAGATGATTATGATTCCATGTTGTTAGATAACGAGAAACAGGCCGTGGAAAATTTACTTAGCTATCTTGAAACTGGTAAGTTTAAATTGATCATTTGATGAACAATAAAACATTTCATGTTGGGTTTTGAATTATGGATGTTATTTTAGAAGCAGGCCTTCACATTGCAAAATAGCTCATACCATGGAGCCCAAGATTCTATGGAGCCAAATTGTTGTCATATTAAGAGAAAATATCATGGTTAAAAGTGCAAAATTATCAGTCAGAATGGTCAGAACTCAGAATTGTCATTTTCGAGATTTTTCACTTGTAAATATCACATAACACAAAATCACTATATTAGTATCAAAACAAAACAATATTCATAATAACACAACTTTATGGATTTACTACTAAGAAGTAGTAAATCCATAAAGTTGTGTTATTATGAATATTATACCTCTACTTCTAAATGTGATTTAAGGATAAAACAAAACAAAACAAAAAATCTAGTTATGTTTTTTTCACTTTCTACTCTACTTTACATCGATTTTCAATCTAATCAGACATTGATTTTATGTGTATCAGTTTGTTTCTGTGAGGTTTTATTGTCTGATGTAACACAAACAAACAAATTGGATGTAAAGACATCTTGTGATTTTGGGCCCATTTCATGATGCCTACCTTAAATTACATAATATAACTTAATGATTACCATTACTGTTAAAATTGACCTTATGATGTGAATTTATGCTGCAAAACAATAATCAACTCACAATTATAATCAACGTTTATATGCATAAACAATTATTTTAAATTTATAATATTTTTTTTATACATGATTTTATCTCAGATCAAGCTATTTTCAATGCTTTTGATATCCAATATTTAAGACAAAATAAACATTTTACCATTGGTACACGAATCGTTTACCATAATGCGCTTCAGCCCCTGTTGCATCAAGAGACTCGAGGGACGAGGCTACACACATTGCACCAAATCAAACGGCGTATGTAGACTGGAATAACCAGACGCTAGAAATTTGCGCTCGCTTGAGACTGCTGGCTTATTTCGCCGAATATAACTGATTTGAAATTGGAGTAAAAACGGAAACGATTGAATGTAAATCAGTTTTTAAACATTCATATTACAGTATTATATGCGTTGCGACCCACTTTTGTCAATTTCTAGGTCCCAAATGTTAGCGATTTAGCTCCTTTAAATTACATAAAGTAACATACATGTAACTATATGGCAATTTGTATTGTTTTTAAAACATTATTACCTCGATAAACAATGCATCTTTGGTGATCCATCATTCAATCTGAGGGGGAACAAGCAAGAATAATGTTGTACACAAGATCTGCAAGAGCATGTTGGTTTACTGAATGACCAGCAAAACAATTTAGACTTGTTAAAAATATTTCACATCAGACAGCTGTCCTTGTCAGGCCCTCCGTCCTTAACCACTGACAAGGGAAAACTATGTCAGAAAATCTCAATGAACTTTCTTGGCCAATGAACCGTATGAAAAATCACCTTTTCGTTTATGGACACTTGTAGCAAGATTGGTAGAATTTTTGCTCTTTAAATTAGAAGCATTGTATTAATAATATCTTTGGCTAATTATTAAATTCACACATTGTATAGAAGTCATATGCACTTAAATCAAAATGAATGAATGGTTGACATATAAAAACGAGTTATAATTTGGTACACATTAGCTGGTTCAGTGGGAATGAAAATATCATGAGAATATCATGTTTAACACGTGATTGGAATTTAACTAATTGCTTCATTTGGCTTGAGTAACCAATCGTTATAATTAATTACATCATATTTGACCAATTAGATAATTGAAGGTCCAAAACCCAAAGCTACAAAACCATCATATCTTTGGGCATTCGTCAGACAGCAGCTCGATTCCAGAAGGAAAAGATGTAGCAATTTTTATCGGCAAGTCTGGCTGGATGGGGTTTGAGAGAATGACTATTGTATTATGGATTGTGATATATGTAACCAGAGCTATGATATAAAACTGTAGAAACCACACCAGTCATCCTGTTTGTTAATCATACGATATTTTGGGGCTGACAACGTGGAATGTCAGTGTGGCATTTAAAGATACATCCTAACCAGTTAAAGAATTACAAATACAACAAGAGACAAATTCTAGACGATCAAGGGCTGTTCCAAAATATGTAGTAAGAAACGATGCATGGGTTATACGCCGTCTGTGGCGACCGGTTTTAGGTATTTTCCGCTCTCCACGTCTGACAGACGACCCATGGTACTACACACTCTAGAAGTCACAATTTTTATCAGATTTAAACAAGCGTTCGAATATATCACAATTTTTATCAGGGGGTCACAATGTAGGACGAGAGCCTGACAAGGACAGCTGTCTAGTCATTCGGATGAGACAAAAAACCGAGGTCCTGAGTACACATTGGCATGCACGTAAAAGATCCCTTGACCGTAGTGCCGCTGTCCGGACAAAATTTTCCTCATAGCACACTGTATGGCCTATGCCCGTCTTCATTAGCCCAGATCGGAGCAGAACAGTAGGACGTTAAACCCCATTTCATTTCTTTTTTATCAGACTTTGATATAACTTAAAATATATGATTATATCTCATAGATCTTAGTTCCTTTCGATATTGACACATGTCAGACTGTAACATGGATTATGGTCCCTGATGGTAAGAAAAAAATAATTGATTTTTTGGCTTGTTCTCAGTCCAAAAATGAATCTTGAATGTTTTATTCCACCTGTGCTATAATTCTAGTAAGCGTCAGGTGCTGTAACCACTCAACTTTACAATGGGTAAAGAAATATATGTGACACCAGAATATTTTGATAATTTCAGAGTCCTCTCAAGAAACTATATTAAATGAAGAACATATAAGAGCATTGTCTATTTTGACTTTTTCGGACAATGAGGAGCTCCAGCGTTCAGCAGCGTTATGTTATACAGAAATAGCTAATCGTAGTAAGTTTTTTGTTGAATGCTTTCAAGAGTATTTCAGAAAAAGAATGTCATATGTTTTCCCTTGTTTTTTAAAATTTGATTTTGGTTAATCTTGGAATCACCCCAGGTTTGGATAACAAGCACTTACACTGAAGTTGTTTAATTAAATGTTTTTTCTTAGTCATGACTCATGACACTAGATCCCCTATTTTTGCACTCCTGGGCCTATTTTCCAGTAGTAGGTGTGTAAGTAGAATCATGAAACTTTTAAAGATAGACAATGGTTAGGGTTTAAACATGACTCAATAGAGGTTTAGTTGATAAGGCTGACATACAAGGCTTTTTGTTGTACATAATCTTGGTATCCAACTCACCCAGTGTGGAATATCGATCATTTTTTATTATACATCTTTATTATTTTTGTTTTTAGTGCATAAACCACTAACACATCGACAGACAGCACCATTAGTAGAATTATTAAATTCCAGTGATATACAAGTACAGAAAATATCAACATTAGCTATGAGCAATTTTATACTTAATGGCCCAGGTAAGATTTTGATAGGCCTATATGGTTTATAAATGCAGAACACTTTTATGCTAATGGTTTGGTTCAGTGAGGAATCCTATGTTATAACATCTACAAAGGTAGAGTGCCCCACCATAAATAAATATCTCCAAATATCTCGACAATTATGCCACAATGTTTATATATATAACAAGCCTTAACTTATTTTCTCCCATTCATAGTCACTAAATAAACAGTTGTGTTGTATTTAACAGATTATAAACATTTAAACATCAATAAAAAAAATAGACTGAAAAGGTAAATGACAAGCAGCCATAGAGGGCAAAATGGGTTACGTGCCTTTGGTTTGAAACTAGTCCTGCTGTCTACCGACCATTCTCCGATTAACTGGCATGCCAGGAAAATCCAGACTATTTTCTACTAGTAATCTATTCTTGCTAAAACCGGGATCTTCGGAGATATTAAACCAAACGATGATGCTCCAAACGGTACAGTTAATAATAAAGCAAATTAAAAGAGAAAACGAATGAAATTTCCTAAATCTGCAACAACAACCAAAAAGCTAAATATACTGTTATTTAAAATTGTTAACAATAGATTTTTTACGGTTTTAATAGTTGATGGATGTGTAGAAAATTTCACATGTGATGGCTATTTATAGCCTAATAGAATATACTCCGATTATTCTATCGCTGTGGTCAGTTCAACTTTTAATTGAGAAAATTTTGATTGTGAGGGGCACCCTAACAAAGGCTTCATTTATTGCTTTTACTTTCAGTAATTGGATAAGACAGATCAAATATAAATAAGAAAATCTCCATTCATTAACTTCAATTTTAAATCCATACCATTCCTTGGCCTATTATATTTTTTGATATTATAACCATAAAGAGTCATAATATGTCATAATCATCTGATAAAAATATTAAAGGGAGCTAGTATGGCCTTCTCGATTTATTTGCTACTCTCACTCAAAGGATTCTATAGACTTGAAGTTATTTTTATATTGATTTCCCCAATTCATATCTGTTTACTTCCTTATCCTTCTGCCTAAAAATCATGACTTTTCACCAAAACCTGGCAGATAATATACATTCAACCACTATTCTTGAATTCTAAACTAAAAGATCTACAAAAAATGCTATGCAAAAGGAAGGGAAAGGCAGAAAGAGAGAATTGCTATAAATACAGGAATTACTGGCCTGAAGCCTATATTGTAAAGGGATGGACAGTTTGCGTGGATGGTTAATATAAACTTCTCTAGTCCATGATTTCCTGTGTTTCTGCTATTTTACAGAAGAAAATAAAGATGTTTTAGTTCACTGTGGTGCTTTATCTCCCCTGATTCAACTTTTATCTTCTCGTAATACAGAAGTACAGTGTAATACATGTGGTTGTCTGACAAGTCTCGCTACAACAGGTAAGTTATTCTTATTTAAGATGGAATGAACAAAGATATTGGGGCGATTGAATATTTTATTTCACACCCGATACACAGACAGAGACATTAATGTTGTTTTGAGCATTTGATATACAGGTATGCTATACTCATTTAAGATCGGAATAAACAAAGAGATTGGGCAGTACACAGATAGAGACATTAATGTTGTTTTGGGCATCTGTCCCATCAACAGTATCCCAGCTATTGGCCAAGAAGAACCTTCACTAACTTGTCCGGGGTGAGGCCTACATGGCATGCTGAGTTGTTGTACTTGTTTAATTGCATGCAAACGTTCAGAAAAACTAATTACCAATTAAATTATTTTCAGATTCCACAAAACAGACAATTGCCACAGAAAATGGTATTAATCCATTATTACGTTTGTTGAATTCAAATGATGTTAGAGTACAACGTAATGCAGCGGGAGCCATACTTAATCTTACACATTTACGTAAGTAACTATTCATTAAATTATATTTACTAATATCGATCTGTTTTCAACTACAAATTTTTCTTCATCACATGAAGGATATTTGAACAGATTATTAATAACATTTTATATGGCAGTAATTCTGTAGAGAACTCTTTCTGCATCACATTCACTGTATAAATTTGAAGAACCTAAATAAATAGTGAGATAACTCTGAAATGTCAGATTAAAACATTTTGAGTTTGCTAAATGATATTTTACTTGTGACCAAATAAACAATCCTTGCAAATCTGACAAAAATCTGACAAAGAACTGTAGGCATTCGAGAATAATAACTTTCTTATATTTGATATAAATTCTTAATGTTTCAAATAGAAAATACTCTCCTTTGTCAGTTTTCACAATACTTAAACCAACAGAAAATGCACATTCAGATAATCATTATTTTGACAAAGAAATTCTGTAATTGTGTTTTGTTTTGCTTTGGCTTTTCAAATTGAACTAAATTACGTATAGTGTATCTTTCAGTATATGAAGTAATGTTTCAAACTCCAATATTTCATAATAGATTAAAAATATCAAGTTTGTTACTTTATTTATTTCAGAATCTAATCGAAATGAGTTGGTAGATAAAGGAGCATTACCCATCCTTATCCTGTTGCTCTCATCCTCAGACGAAGAAATCCAATATTACAGTTCCGCAGCTCTTAGTAACATAGCTGTTAACGACATACATCGCATCATGATGGTTGCTATTGGTAACCATGATGTTATACGAGACCTTATAAAATTATTATTATCCAAAAAAGAAAAGGTAACTGTGATTTTAAATCATTTTTCCAGGAATTGGGATTTATTATAATTAAAAAAATTCTTCATTCAATAGTAGTGAAAAATAGACTTTAAGTTGATTAGATAGGTAACTTATTCATCATAACGTTTCAAGTTAAGCAACCTTTTTATAAATAAGTCCATTTGATAATTATTTGTCACCTTTAAATGGTAGTGCTACATGTTTAAAGGAGTGTTTCTATCACCCCACCCCTCCCAGCTATTCGTATTAAATTATACGGATATGGTGCATGTTCATTTCTAATTTTCTACAAATGAAGAAGTCACTGATACAGGAACATTTTGCTAAATAAGAATTAAGGCAGTCATTTTTGTAACATTTTTATCGCTTTATTTTCTAGATTTAATGATAATGCATTCCATATTAATGCATAAAATGATTGAAATTTACAGTCAAATATGAGAGTGTGTTTGATATTGAAATATCTAAACATAAAGTTAACTCAATGAGTTTTACTACATAAAAAACATACCATCAATATTTATTCGCAAACTGTATAATTAGTAACTAACTTTACATACAAACTGCAATAAAAGTGTATCAGAGACAGTAATCAAAAAAAATGTTTGAAATCTCTCAGTATTTTAATGTATTTTACAGGTAAAATGTCAGGCTTGCTATGCATTAAGGAATTTAGCTTCAGATGGTAAGTATTATAGTATAAAGTTAGATATTTTAATAAATTTTTGGGGATTATACTCAAATACACAGTTGGATTTAATATGAAATCCATTTCATTATTTTGTATTAATCTCTTCATGTCATATATGTTGGATTTAATATGAAATCCATTTCATTATTTTATATTAATCACTTCATGTCATATATTATTATCAATATACAATTCTAATATCTTTGTTTTTATTTTTTAGGTGATAATCAGATATGGATAGTAAGGTTTGGTGTTTTAGAACCTCTACATAAAGTCATACGTAATTCAAAGAAAGAAACATTAGGAGCTGCTGTTGGCTGTTTAAGAAATCTCTCAATATTAAAAGCTAATGAGGTATGGCTTTTGAAACGTTTGTCTGGTTAGCACTTTTTCCCTCTGGGCTTCCACTTTCGAAGTACATGTAATTTACTTTTTTAAGTTTCTCAGCTTAATATTCACTGGTAAATATAACCCTAATAATATGACACATGCAATTAGTCTTTTAAATAAATACAGCAGTTTTTTTTATAAATGTAATATTTAAATTATTTGCATTTTTCAGTCTGCAATTGTTGAGCAAGGTTTTCTACCAGATTTGTGTAATATTTTAAAGTCTGGAACACACTCAGAATCTCAGAAACATGCTGCTGGTATTTTACGAAATCTAGTTGTAGGAGATCATCTACAGGTCAGTTATTTCTTCATTGTCACATGCTTAAGGGTGAATCTTGCGTTTTGATTGGTCGATTAGACACTGTCTATTGGACAATAACACCCCTCTAAATTAGAAAAATCACTGCGTATTAATATTATGCGTACTACTTTAATGGAGATAACCACAATGGAGACACTCTATTACAAAAACAAATTTTGTTCCAAAAAGTTCTTTTAAAAAAATGAAGTGAGAATTTTAGGTTTTTTTTGTGTGTCTATACTCATACGGCTACTATAGCAACCAGACGATAAGCGAGCCAAATCTAACATGCGCAGCCAGTTACCCCGCAATGTCAAGACACTTTTAATTAGGTCAAAATTGATTTCTTTGGTTTTTACGTCACTAAAACCGATTTGCAGTGAGACGAATTTTGAAGTTTACACAATAAAATAAGTTCTTTTAAAATTCTAAAAAATAGCATGTTACAATGTCGATAAACACCTCCTGTTTCGCATTTAGAGGGGTGTTATTGTCCAATAGACATGTCCTGAGATTTTACATTAGAACCTGCGACACTAATGCGTCTTGGGTCCTAATGATCTCAGGACGTACATGTCTATTGGACAATAACACCCCTCTAAATGCGAAACAGGAGGTGTTTATCTCCTAAGTAAAAGTCAGGCTTATATAGTTTTTAGCTCAAATGGCTTATGTCCATGGGAAATAGACCTATATTTCAAGGTTTGTCAAAATCGGATAAAAATTGTGACCTGTAGAGTGTCCAAAAACAAATTGTGGATAGACAGATAGATGGACGGATGTCCGGACGGACAGGGGTGACGACAATATACGTCCACATGAAAATGTGGGTGTATAAAAAGCATGATTTCAAATATTATTTTCAACAGTTCAGTTACAAATTATAACTTCTGCTAATTCTGGTAGGTGTTTTCAAAGTAAAATGCCTATCCTGTAAACTCACTCTCCTATGATGAGTATAAATCACAATACTAGTCCTGCTCAAATGTACAATAATCTTTACATCCAGTTTTAAATAATATCATTCGGAACAATACTACCAAACTCATGTACGGTAGGCCTACATGTGACCCCTAGCCGATAAAATTGGTTTATGACCTAGAATAGTATGTTAAAATGACTGCCTCTTATTTTCAAAAACAAGAAACTAAAAGACACATTTCATTATATAACTTGATGATACATGAAACCTTACATATCTCGATCTATCATGCTGATTGAGAGATACAAGGAAGACTCGCGCTGACCACACCTAGCCTCCCTCTCTATCTATAGTGCCGTACATGCATAGGATCGGGTGTAAACTAGCATCCATAGCGGGGACAGATCACCTCATACATCATACACCCGCCAAATGACTGGATGATCAGAATCCCTAAGATACGACTCACTGAACATATATGTGGAATCTTAACCCCCAGATTTCACACACCATCAAGTCCTAAATTTATTCCATATTAATTATGTAAGAGTTTGCATTCTAAATTTAATATTGTACCAATATAGGTTTACATACTTTGTAAAAATAGAATGGCCCTATAATTGTAATTCACATGATTTTATAATAACATACTAGTGTAAATTGTATCAAATAAATTATTTATATGTATCGATATGGCACAACAAAATTCATCAAATTATAAGTAGGCCTTAACATTATTGAACGAGTCAGTGGTTGCAATGGGTTTGTCATATATTGCATCACTTTGTATGGTGTATGCTCGTTTCATTCATTAGCTTAGTTGATGTAGAAAACTAGGCCTTTAAGCCGCATTTAATTTCAGTTCATTTCATATCTGTAATGTGAATGATAGACTGCATTATGTAAAAAGTATTGACAGCTGAAAAAGCTTACATAATATTGAAATGAAATGAAATGGTGTTTAACGTCCTAATTTACTACACCAACTAAACTAATGAAAATGAGCATATGCCATACAAAGTGATGCAATATATGACAAACACTGAAGTGTATTCTATTATCTATTCTTGGAATTTGTAACAAATATTGATTACTGTTTTCACTAGGCTCCCCTACAACCAAAAGTGTCTTTTTGTTTTTCTTTTAATATTTGGCTTTGTTTTTTGTTTTGTTTTGGGGTTTTTTTTCGCAAGGGGTTGGGGGGGAGTGAAGTGCGGAGAAAACCTGTGAATCTAATTCCTGTTATTCCTGAACTTCCTAATTGAGTTAGGCCTACTTGAATGGAACAATGGAAGCCTAAGCAGCTAACATTGAAGGCATAGGTTTTGGGGAATATTATTTTGATACAGAATATCGTTCACCTACCTTGGTATTTCTGTTTGTTCATCCAATTATCATAACTTTAATCTATCATTTTTTCTCCCTTTCTGAGTTTCTCTATCACCTTTTTTAAAAGTCAGACATTTTAGTTCTATTTTTTTTTCTGTAGGGCTACGGTACCATATTTATATGTAAGTCTTTAAAGTAGTCATAAACAACATCCTTTCATGCCAAAGGTGACCAGGCTACTGACACCAAATATGGGCATACACATGCACCTGCAGATGTTTAGGCTATCAGACATCAATTTCAGAAAGTTGTAAAAGGGGGATAACTCTATCTGGCTTGATATCATTCATTTCCATTTACATGAGTTTAACATTTTCTTTAGATTAATTTTTTATTGAATATTTATTAATTTAATTGTGACCCACTGCAGTCCTAATAGTTTGAGAATTTGTCTATGGATTATTGTTTTTCATAATATTAGTCATTTGAAGAATTTGCCTACTAGGCCTACAGTTGAAGATAAAACTATAAAAGACAAATAAATGAATGGAATTATCAGAAACAAGGACCTGCAGGATTATATAGGCTACCCGTACTTATGATTTCCCATGGCTTTGGTAGCTTACATTAATATTTTGGCCTATATGCTTATTTATGTAATTTAAGGCCTATTGCAGGCTAATTAAGATATTTTAAATATCATGTGTATCAAAGAAGAAAACAGTGGAGGTAGAGGTGTGGGGAGAGGTGGGACTTGTCTGGAGAGCAAGTCCTTTATGGTGTGGGCTACCGGTAGAGGCCCGCTTATTTGTAAATTTCCAGGCCTAGAGTAACTAGTATTACATTAAGAAGAGGCCTATAGCAGCTTACATTAAGAAGAAGTCTAGGCCTATAGGCTTAGCCTATTTATAAACTTCCAGGCCTATAAACAGTGGGTTGGGGAATGGTTTCAGATTAGATTCAAACAAGAATTTAAGAACATTAGTTTGAGTTAGGTAGATATTATGCACCCACAATTCCTTGTAAATGCTCCACAGGTCTGATTATTTTTTTTTTCAGAGCTGAATATCTAGTTTCAAAGTCATGTTAATTTCGACACCCTCTGTCACTGAAAGTTTTCTTTTTATTGTTTTAGTATATTTATTAGACACAGAAAATGGATAAAATCCGACCATGGATGACCTTATCAAAAGATGTCTCTGGCATAAAAGCAAGACAGCTTGTAACAGTTATGTACCAAGGAAAAAACTCTTAGCAATTGAAAACCCTAACTCTTTACAAATTTTACCTTGTATATTTTATGTATTTTTAGGCTGTGATAGATAATAACTGTCTGGATGCTCTAACATTATGTCTAATAGATATGGACACCAAGACATCTGTTTTATCAGAAGTGACTGCAGTATTAGCTGTTATGGCTGATGAAAGTAAGTCAAGAAATTAGCTACCTGTATATGAATGGATGTTTGTCTGAACCATGGTTGATAGAACTAAACAACCCAAACAGGATTGATAAAGCTTGATCATCAAGTTGCATTTGGAACAAGATGACTGGGACTTAAAACAACATTAGTCCCAGTCACAACGGTTGGCTTAAATGGCGGCTGCGTGTACTAACAGGTGCACTGTAGATGCCATCTTCTACACAATGTATGCAATCTTTAATGTAATATGAGGTTTGAATTCAGGCATTTAGGGAGTTGTTAAAAGGTAATTCTAGTAGCTGCCATCATGATCTATCTGGTACGTGTTAGAATATAAACCAGGGTTGAAAATTTATCAAATGATTCCTCTCTCTGAATTCAGTGGGAAGGAGTACTGTTTTAATTAAATATATTTTTAATATTTTTTGTAGATATAATCAAGAAGAAAATATTAGTATTACATGAAGGACAAGTATTTTATCGTTTAGTTTCATTAGCTTCATTATCAAATAGTTCAGATGTACAATATAACAGTGCTGGTATTATAGGACAGCTTTGTCAAAAATGTAAGTGACCAACAAAAGGCAGAAACATCAGTCTAATTAAAATAACATTTTGTTTCCATTTGACTTTTTGTTTTTTATTTTCGTCTAAAGACGAACATTTACTAAGTGCAGAATGTGATTGGTCATCTCCAGATCAACCATCCAATCAAAATGTGTGAAATAGTAAATTCTGGGAAATCTTTTGAAAGGCTATAATTATCGAGACATTTGATGGTGTGTCTAATCAATGTCAATGGTATTATTTTGTCACAGGCCCAGAACAGGCTTTTCTTAAATCTGTTAATGGAGTGTATAACCAAATAGATGAAATGAAAACAACATCTATTTAAAGAAACAGTAGGATGACAGCAATTTATTTTATAGGCTTGTTTATCCAGGCTCAAAATGTTATAGTATGCCCCTCAAAAATTAACAAAAGAAAAATTGGTTTAAAATAGTCATCAATGAATGATGAATTAGAAAAGTTGTAGCCAGAAACAGTTTGGCATAATCATAACAACTTTTTCTAAAAATTATCATTATTTCTTTGGAGTTGGGAATAATAATTTTCAGATTGTTTTTCACAAACCATCAATTATAACTACCCAGGAATCATAAAAACATTATTCTAACTATTGTCTCATAAATTGTAACCTTTTTAATTTTCAGTCATTCCTGATGATTTGAAGGAAGCCAATAAATTAGGCATAGTTTTATATATAGATAAATTTCTCAAATCTAAAGATGAGAATTTTGTTCATATTGGATTGTGGACTCTAGGACAACTATTAAAAGGTAAAAAACACAACACAATTTATATGGAAAACAGACACTGGTTTGTACACATACAGCACAATATATTGACAATTGTATGTGCTCAGGGCTCAGTCACTAAAAGTCACTCAAGTGAATTAAAAAAGAAAATTACCCAAAACTTTTAAGCTGAAGGGAAAGTCAAATAATACCTTGGTAGTATTTTTTGAATAAATGGTCATCTGTTAATTGCGGAATCAGTTATCTCTCAACATTGAGACATAGACATTTTACCTGTTATATGAATATGAATAAGATATGTAATAAAAAATCAAAAGTTGTTTAATCTGTGGGCATAAAAACTTGACAGTAAATGTATAAAGATATATCTTCCACAGGCAAATGATGTACAAGATTTACACTTTAGTAAATAAAAAATAAATGTTATTGTCCATATGACATAGGTTAGAGGGCTGGTTGATTACAGAGTGGTCTAATGCCACATCATAAGACCTGTCATCAATGCAAATATCACTGTGTCAATCAAAAACCTATAAATGACATGTAGTATGGTCACCTTCCTATAACAGTATTGGTTTTCTCAGTGTTCTCAAGTGTCCCCCTTCACACAAGCGAATTATTAACATACACTATAAACCTCAGAATGCCTCATTCTGCATTTTTGTCCAAACATGGCAAAAACATGTTAAAATTTTTGCCACATTGTAACATGGTAAAAACAAAATGCCACGTTTGTCTGGAGTTCCAAAACGTTTTATTTTTTAAATTGCCATGTTCTTGGGACGAGGTATTTTGTCCAGAACGAGACTGTTCACAAGGTTGGATACATGATGTTGCAGTTTCATATGTCCACACAATATTTCCAACAATGAGATGTGAGAAATTAAAACCAGCCACGCTCAAAGTTGACCGAACTCAATAATTGTATTATAGGTCTTTGAACATTATTAATTACAAATATGCTGTTCCTGTTTTATTGGTTGCTCGGCCCAAATGTCGAAGATTTTATTTTAAGGACTTTTAAAACAAAATTAAGCAGTTTTATTCTCCAGAATATAGTCCAGATCGACCCTTTAAATAAGAATCCAGACGTAGGCCGGTCACCCAAAGGATGAAAATGTAATTAGCATTCTTAATAAAGTTGTTAACTTTATATGTCATTATATAAACATAAATTGTGTCTATTTCATGTTTCGATGGAATTTAATTGGCCGTTTATATACTACTTTTACAATTTTTATACATACAACTGGGTGACAATTACATAAAATTTCATGAGATATATTAAATATAATATCGTTTATTATATAAAAACAGGAACAGCATATTTGTAATTAATAATTTTCAAAGACCTAAAATACAATTATTGATTTGGCTCTGCTTTGAACTTGACTGTTTTTCATTTCTCACATCTCTTTGTTGGAAATATTGTGTGAACATATGAAACTGCAACAAAGAATGTAACAAACTCTTTTTATGCCACGAATGTCATTTCTAGTCGACTTTGCCTTGTGTTTTTGTCTCTACACAATCGCTTGAAAGTGTCACTTTGGATTGGCTGAACCCCACCCCCAATCCTTGTGAACAGCACCGTTCTGGACAAAATACCTGGGCAATATAAAAAAAATACGTTTTGGAACTCCAGACACAAGTGGCACAAATTATAACACGTTTTTGCCACGCTTGGACAAAAATGCCGAACGAGGCATTCTGGGGTTTATAGTGATACAAATATATATGTATGTTAGTCTTGAAATGATCTTGTTTGTATCTAGTGGAACTTATATAGACCCTGTGTCTTTTTCTGTTTATCATTTAGACTAGGCCTAATCATATTTCCCCAATTTGTCAATCAACACATTCAAAATGATTCCCTTCATAAAGCTTAAAAATATGAATAAAGACTTGTTGCATTATTTATGACTAATTCGCATGTATCTTGGTGTATTTAGCATTGGGAGGAAACCAAAAGCTTTCTGTTAAAACCCTGCCACTTGACTCTGTGTAACCATTGTGTTATAAGTCGTGATAGGTATATGCAGAATATAATTACACTAGAACACATGATGCCACTTCTAATTTGATGAGTTCATACAGCTAATTTATTTTTATTGTGCTTTTGTATTGAAGAAGTTTGCCTTGTTATTTTCTATCTATTTCAATTTTTGTTTTCAGATGCTGTTTTTGTGAAAGCTTTTCATGACCATCATATAGAACACATTGTAGAGAGGCTCATATCTGATAGCCAATCAGCTGCCATTTTAGAACTTGCTCAAAATGTTGACGAAATATTAACAGAAGCGTTATTATCGGGTGATGTTGATACTACATCAGATGAAGACGATGTGTGATATATTTAATAGATGACCACACAGATGTAACATTTTGGATTCAAGATGTTTTTTGATTGGTTCTTTTATTAAAAGGAGTGCAACCTTTAAATGGAGAACTTTGAACATTGCTCAAAGGTGACTTATGAAAAAGGACATTGCCTGGCAGAGACCAGAAATCTAATAGAAATTGTGCTCTATTTTTTATGCTGAGCAGAAGTTATTTTGAAAGGAAGATTTTGGAAAGTGCATTTGATTGACTGTATGATCAAAGACAGCCATTGAAAAAAAAAGCTCTGTTAGCAACAGAAGAATACTTTTCAATTAAATGTAGGTGTGTTTGGCAGACTTTGGAAGATCTCTATAAGAAGTTGCTGTTCACTGAAGAGGGAGAATTTTATGTGTTTTGAAACCAAATTTTAATGATTTTTAATACAAATTTTATGTGATTGTTTAGCTTATATAGAATTTCTTAATACTGTATGTTTTTCAAAGTGTGGTGTGGTGTGCTTTTTAAATTATGAAATTGTTCACAATTATGTTAAGACTTAGAAATAACTACTGATATGTTTAAAGGAATAACCAATACTCTGGGCCACTAGTATTAAATTTGTATAGAGTTATAGATTGCACTAAATTTTTCTAACTATGCGGTAATGGTACACAAGTGCTAACTAATTGCTCCAAATCAGTTATAATTTTGTTCACTTTTAACTTACTTTCCACATACAAACTGGGTGATTTAATGATATATTTGGACTAAACACATATTCTTACTAATTAATCTATCAAAAATTTGTATCAAATCTTTCTCAAAACATTGTATTCGTGAGCAAATACTCCAAGCTATAAAAAATCTATTAAAAGAAGTGATTTTTTTGTCTCGTGACTTGGCTGTCGCAGTACCAGAATCGGGTGCAAAGCTGGAGGAGAATTCATTGCATATAAAAGTCGATATTGTCTTTAATCACTGTCCATTTACCATAAGTATCAAAGCCTAAGTAAATTCTCGGATTATACCCTGCCCACGTCTTTTTCCGTGATTTTTATATCCCAACATTGATATAAATTGTTTAAGGTCATGAGACAAAGAATCCTTTTCATTTTCAATGATTTCCGATAATTACTGTGTGAGTTAAGATCCTTGATCACTTTGAAAAATCTTGTAGACACTCTAGAGGCTATAACTCCATTTCATTCATTCATTCACTCTAGAGGTAAAGTTGATATAAATTGTTTAAAGATACATTATGTAAGATTTAGATAAAGAGCTAGCCATTCTTGCTATAATAGTTCGAAAATAGATAATGTAAAATGAATAATTTGAAAATTCCATTCAAATTACTCTATTGCGAGCGAAGATATTAGCCTTTGAAGGTTTGACAAGACGTGTGCAGTTATTTTAACCACCATACTGGTTGTTCGAAGCTAAGTCCCGCTCCTCCATTTTTAGCTTAAATCAAAATATGGCTAAACTGTTCTAATCTATTTAATATCGGAGAAATCCGATGCCATCGAGAGTTGATTATGGTCTGGATAAGTTAATTAATGTCTAATTAATAATTTAGATAACATTTAAGGCCTAAAGAAATAAGACCTGCAATAGACAGATTTAGCTCTTGCTTTTTCCACATATGCTCACCATCAATTTTATAAACATATACATCAAGCGGTCCCTATAATGCCAAGAGATCTAGCAATCTTTATGTGCAAACTTTGACATCACTGAAGCAGACGGTGCCAATTAGTGACACCCTCTCATTTTTGTCCTGTGCGTGCTCCATGGGTGGTTTTCAAGAAATCCAGTATTTTTCTAGTAAGATTGGGTGTCTCTACTTTCCATATATACCAAAATTGCCACACATTTCTTGGAAATAACCCGATAAATACTTGTGTGGGAAAGTATCTTTAATATCCAAATTAGACAAGAATTTTAAGAGAGATCTGCTAATCCATGGCTGAGACATATGTTTTATGTCTAAACATTTTTAGATGTTGTAGTTTTTTTCAAGCAGATCATGTTGAAAACTTGTTACTGCAATTAGCTCGGTGTTTGTTGCATTTACCTTGTTAGCAAAAGTGATAATGCCTCTTTAATATTCAAGATTTGAACCAAGAATGTGGGTTACATGGACTCTATTTCACTTTGGTTGTTGGTGGTAGGCTATCAAATTAAACAATAATATATCAAGTGTTTTCTAAATCTTAATTCTTTAATGATCATTTGTATGGCTAGTTTTGTTTGTGTTTAATTTTACACCTACAGATTAATGTACATTACATAATTGTTCAGTGGACATTGTATTTCTAGATATTGCACAAGTTTCAAAATTCAGGTGAAGTCCTTGATCCAACCCTCTTTATGGTCTAATTCTTATGGATATGTTTCCCCTTTGATGTAACAGTAATTTGTCTGTAGATAACATATGAATATTATTTTAAATGTCCCATTAGACAAGTTTTAAAAGGTCTCATTTGCTGTTGTTAATTTTTTATTTGTTTTTTTTTTTATATTTTGCTCATGTAAAAGTGTTACAAATGTGAAATGGAACAAATTTAATCCATTGTTCAATAACATAGATAAAAAAAAGTATTAAAAAGTATAAATATAAAAAGTATAAAAGATCTTGGGGTAGATATTTGTAACTTCATATGTATTCTACGGATTTTTGATGCAACTTGAATTTTGACTTGCACTATCCAATGAGTAGCCTCACAAATTACATACATGTAACATCTTTATTGATTTGCAATTCTTTGATTTCATTTTCTACCAAATCAAACACACCACTGCCAGGAGTATGTATTTATATGGGTGGACTAGAACATATGAATAAAATGTCATTTAGAAATCACACTACAGTAGAATCTGCATTAAGCAGCCACCCAAGGGAATTTTCACAACTGACCGCTTAACGGGAGTGGCCTCTTAATAAAATCTCGTTGCTTTTTTGTGCCAACATAAATTAAATATTACGCTTGGATGCATTGGAAGCGGTAAATTTGGCCGTCGCTGAATCTTGCGCCGAACGAAAATTCTTTACTCAAATCTCGGACATAACTTAACGGGAGTGGCCTCTTAATAAAATCTCGTTGCTTTTTGTGCCGACATAAATTAAATATTACGCTTGGATGCATTGGAAGCGGTAAATTTGGCCGTCGCTGAATCTTGCGCCGAACGAAAATTCTTTACTCAAATCTCGGACATAACTTCTGTAAACTTGTCATTTTGTACCAACCTTCGATACTACTGTCTACCATTGTGATGCATTCGATAATATTTATCCATTTTTGTGAAGAAAATCGATGAATTCATTTTATTTTATCAAAAAAGCACATGAACAAAAAACATCGCTAATTTTATCACCTATTTACAGGGGGTGTAACTCTGTATGTAATGTTATAGGAGGCGCTAAGAGAGATACTAGATGATCGTGACAAAACTCGGTACTTTTATTTTATTCAATCAGTATCAAATAATGTGTCGTTACGCGTGAAAACAATGATCAGGTTAGTCGTTTAATAAAACAAAAGATTAATTAACTGATAATCCCGGGTTGATTGTTATTTTTACATTTCTTTTTACCTGATCAGTGGGGGTCCAGTTAATTAACTACTACTCACGGGATTAGCGGGGGTGTTACAAAGAACGACAAGATGGTATCATTCAACAATGGCCGTTGAATGGGCGATGTTTTGTTGAATTTATTAGTAATATAGAGACCGCTGGCCGCGTTAGAGGAGTGACCGTTGAATAAAGAGATGAAACAACAGAATTTCTACGGGGGGGAATTTATCGTGACCGCTTACAAGGAGATGTCGCTGAATAGGAGTGGCTGCTCATACAGATTCTACTGTATAAGGATTGAAAAAAATATTGACAATGTTTACCACATTCCAAGTACTGGAATTGAGAGTGTATGTTTCAAAGACCTGGAGCATGATTCATAATGCATAGCTTAAGTGACATAGACAAAAGTTCTATAGAGTTGTGCAGTAGAATGTAACGCATGACCCTAGTCTACTCATTCCAAAAAGCTCTTCTTGCCATCATTCCATAATTCTTTTAAGACGCTTATTTTATGTTAAAACCATTTATCATTTCATATTATCTTCGCAATTCTCTATTATCCATTGTTTTCATTTTTGACATCAAATGTCTAAATAAAATCTTGAAACCCTTCATTCCTATGCCAGTTTATGTCGGTGTTGTTGAGTATGCCTGACTGAAAAATCCAGCTGACATATAATTGAGGGAAGTTCAGAGTCGCCAAGCCAACAGATTGTGAGTTACAGAAATAGAACATGTTGTATATAGCATAGCTAAATTTGATTGTGGGAGCTTGTCATGTGACTGGTGACATTTTCAACCAGGCAAAGTTTGCCAACAAAAAACAACAAATATTGCAAAGGTGTCACAACATTTGAAGAAAGAAAAATCAAAACAGTCTTTTAGTTTGTACAATATATATAATACTTTACTCCATATCAATATGTTTTATATAAAGTGTACAATATATAAGTAGATGTGTGTAATATTAATATTTATATCATATATAATAATAATAGCCATTTTAATTATATATACTGCTCTCTAAGTTTGAAAATCAAATAAGATCAAGTCTGGATAGCTGTGAATTCAATCATTGTTTATTTAGATTGTCCAGTTCAAGATGCAGAATTGAATTCTGTTGAGTAAAACGGCCTAGGTAGCGAGGCATGCACCAAACGAAAACAAAATACTTTTTCGCTAAATCCCCATAACTGAATCAAGTGCCCCGAGTTGGAATTTTGATAATTCTACTCACACAGCTATGAAGTCCGAGAGATGTGTTACTGTACTCGATTCTGTGTCACTCTATAGCAATTTCATTAATTTGTAATGTTTCAGACTCACAACTGGGTAGTTGAGATAATCCAGGTTACTATACATTACCCTTCTGTCTGATTTTCAAAGTTAGAAAGCAATTCTTATTAAACTGGCCATCACAGACATCTATGCTGTTGAACAAGAAATTAATAAATCATCTTCTAAATGTGTGACACTTTTTACCTAGACAAAAGAACTAGAGTTTAGACACGCCCCATGATGTCATCTATGTAATTTCTATTTTAAATTATCCAATGAAATTGTTTTTACCGCACACAATCAGGCTTTCAAATTTTAAAATATAAATTTCTGCATGGATTGACATAACATTGAAACATCCAATTTAACTGAACAATTGATGAAAACTGGTCAAATAAATGTCCCAAATCGATAATGATAATTTGGTAGGGTACCATATTACATATCCAGTAGCGATGTATTATATAATGTATATAGTAACAAATTAGGAGAGGACGAAGTCTGAGACTACAGGTTATATGTATTTTATTCTGTATTACAATCAACTTCACCAGGTTCACACCATTCCTTGTTTTACAACATAAATAACTATACCAATATAACAACAGACACCATGAAAACAGTACATGACAGTATTAACCTTTTACACCTGTGGAATGTTTCACTGCACTTCTGAAACAAACGAAGAAGTGTATCTCTCTCTTGGAGATGTGGAAACCTTATGCACATACAATCAATAGGTTTAAAATACAGATGTGACGTCATCCTTTGATGTTAGGTACCATTATTTCAAATAATGGAATGGGCAATGAGTCAAGCGTATATTATTTATACCAGTTGATATTTTGGACCCACGTGATGTATTTCATTGCAAAGCATGTGCAAGTGTCTGTATTTTAAGTTTTAAATGGTCTCGAGCTTAAGACATTACGTAATATATTGAAACAACAGCTCGGGACTGATGTCACTCATCTTGTTTCAATATATTACTTAATGTCTTGCTCTCACCATTATACCACACTTAGTTCTCCTAGTCCACGAAATATACTGTCACCTACATAATAATATAGGATTCACGCTGTTGACATGTATAATATATAACCCATCCCTATCTCTCTACGTAACAGGGCCTTATTCATAAAAACATAAATTATTTTGAGGATTCAACATTATTAATGGTTAAGAGTTATATTCCTTGTACAGATTGAAGTCCTGTCAATGAGACCGCTGCATTCTAAATATATCATAGTTTAAGTATTTGTTAATAAGTTTTTTTATTTTACTGCAAAGGCACAAAAATTTAGCATTCTCAGAAAACCATCCTGTCTTTCTGGAGTACTAATATGCAAACACTAAAAATTATTTAAAGCTCTGTAGCTTAAATTCCTGTTGGAATTCTAAATGCAAACTAGATTGCTAAAGTTGTATCAAAAAATAAAAAATAGATGATTTACATACTAATACATATTTCTAATACTGTTGCTAATACTACAGACATCTAAATCACATTAATCAACTTACTTAAGTCAAAAAAGAAATTCCAAGTTAATTAGAACTAGACCTTTTTTCAGTTCTGTATGCTGTGCTGCACCTCATTAAAATTTAAAGACATCTTTCCGAAAAGTATGTTCTGGAAATGCGACAACAGAATAATAATACCTTTATGCATGGTTAGAGTCAATCAAATGTCTTGATAATCTGCAGTCGACCAATCACATACATATATGTTTTTACTAAGACACAAAAATTCCTCAAATCCATTTTATAAAAAGGTCATAGTAAGATTCTGGTGCACATGATGTGTCCTTGTAAAAGATCATCATGCCTTTTGGGCTGTCACATACACACATACATATTTCATTTTATATAAACATTTCTTTTTTAGGATATGTGAATGAGATTGCAGACCAGGATTAGTCTATTTATGTCCTGTATAGATATATGTTTGAGAAAATCATAAATAACCAGTGATAAATAAGTTGAGACCTTTAAAATATAAATATTACTTGAGGTACATTTATAAAGACAGGAATGTTTTAACATATATATATTTATCTCTGTACAGCACTATCTATAAATAATAATAAAAATTCAATTTGTGAGCATATAATTTCTAATTTTTCATGGCTTAATCCATGCATGCTCAAATGTACTCAAATTGATAATTTAACATTACAATACCGTAACAATATCAAAATATTAATGGTAGATAATCTCCTGATTTGGATTCAACCAAAGATTTTGGCAATTGTGATAGGTAGTGCTATCAATTTGAGATCATTTTAACACCAATACTTTTAAGTTTTGATGTGCTATTTGTTTTGTTAGAACATTAAAAGCTCCACACTCTTAGATTCATCAAATTTTTAGATAAAGCTACCAGTGGTTGTCAGTTGAGCAACTTCTAAATTCATTTTCTTAAAAATAAAAATGGATAAGATTGCAATGAACTGACTTGGTTACATATTTCAAGAATATAACAAAAAGTCCTTGATGAAAATGTATCATTCATGCAGTATTCTACTGAAGAAAAATGTATTAACATCAAATATTCAAAAAATTACCTTTACAGAAAACAAGAGTTTGTTGACCTGAATCTTCTCGTAATGCACATTTTTAAAAAAAATATATATAGAAAAATAAATCGTTCAAAAATGCATTATTAAAATATCTAGATTTAAGGCGTAGATTATATTCAACAGGCCTTTCAAAAAATGAAACCAGATCGGACCATATATTTCTCAATAAGGCCAGACCAATTTATTCTCTTGTTTTACGGATCCGCCGACCTGAATTTCTAGAACCCGCCCAAAAAAAAAAAACATAATTGTGTCCGATGAAAAAAAAAATCAACCTTCAATCCCCGATTAAAAAAAAAAATCGTCTTCTGGAC